AGGCTACCAAATTCAGGAGACAAAGAAATATAGCCCATATGAAGGAACAGAACAAAACCCCAGAAGAAGAACTAAATGAAACAGAGATAACCAACCTATCAGATTCAGAGTACAAAACACTGGTCATCGGGATGCTCAAAGAAATCATTGAGTACAGCAACAACAAAAAAAAAAGACCCAGGAAGAAATGAAGGTTACACTAAATAAAATAAAAATCTATAGGTCACCAACATTGGAGGGATGAAGCCAGGACTCAAATCAATGATTTGGAACATAAGGAAGAAGTAAGCATTCACCCAGAATAGCAAGAAGAAAAAAGAATTCAAAAAAATGTGGATAGTATAAGGAACCTCTGGGGCATCTGCAAACATACCAACATCTGAATCATAGGGATGCCAGAAGGAGAAGAGGAAGAACAAGAAATTGAAACCTTATTTGAAAAAATAATGAAAGAAAACTTCTCTAATTTGGAGAAGGAAATAGACATACAAGTCCAGGAAGCAGAGAGAATCCCAAACAAGTTGGAACCAAAAGGACCACACCAAGACACAACATAATTAAAATGCCAAAGCTTAAAGATAAAGAGAGAATCTTGAAAGCAGCAACAGAAAAGCAGATAGTTACCTACAGGGGAGTTTCCATAAGACTGTCAGTTGATTTCTCAAACTTTGCAGGCTAGAAGGGGCTGGCAAGAAGTATTCGAAGTGATGAATAGCAAGGACCTACAACCTAGATTACACTATTTAGCAAAGCTATCATTTAGAATTGAAGGGCAGGTAAAGTGCTTCCCAGACAAGATAGAGCTAAAGGAGTTCATCATCACCAAGCCACTATTACATGAAATGTTAAAAGGACTTATTTAAGAAAAAGACAAAACCATGAACATTGAAATGGCAACAAACTCACAACTATCAACAACTGAATATAAAAAACAAAAACAAAAACAAAACTAGCTAAGCAAACAACCAGAACAGGAACAGAATCATAGATATGGAGATCATTTGGAGAGTGATCAGGTAGGAGACGGAAGGGAAAGAATGGAGGAAAAGGTACAGGGATAAAGAAACATAATAGTAAGTACAAAATAGACAGCAGGAGGTTAAGAATAGTATAGGAAATGGAGTAGCCAAAGAACTTATATGCATAACCCATGGACATGAACTAAGGAGGGGGGAAATGCTGGGGGGATTGAGGGTACCAGACAGAGCAGGACCAAGGGGAAAAAATTGGGACAACTGTAATAGCATAATCAATAAAATATATTTTTAGCCCTGGCTGGTGTGGCTCAGCGGACTGAGTGCCGGCCTGCAAACCAGGGGGTCGCTGGTTTGATTCTCAGTTGCGATGCATGCCTGGGTTGCAGGCCAGGTCCCCGGTGGGGGGCACATGGGAGGCAACCACACATTGATGTTTCCCTCCCTTTCTTTCTCCCTCCCTTTCCTTCTCTCTAAAAATAATAAACATCTTAACAAAAAATATATTTAAAAAAAAAAACATAAAATAATCCCCATTTTTTAAAGGGCAATGAAGACCCAAAGTCTATCATCTAGTAAGCATCAGGACTAGGTTTTAAAGGCATGTCTATCCTTTATTCTTTTTAAAGATTTTATTTACTTATTTTTAGAGAGAGGGGAAGGGAGGGAGAAAGAAAGGGAGAGAAACATTAATGTGAGAGAGAAACATCTATTTGGTACATGTAACCAGGACGAACCCGCAACCCAGGCACATGCCCTGACTGGAAATTAAAAGTCCCTTATTTGTAATAACAAAAGCTGGAAACAACCTAGATGTCCCTCAGTGGGAAGCAGTTAAATTACAGTAATACATATACTGTAAAACCCTGTACCTTAAAAATAAAAATGAGAATGCTCTCTATTTAATTTCCAAGATATAGTGTTAAGTGGCTGGGGGGTGGGGGGGCCAACAAAGTTCAGAAGATGTGTATAGCACAGTACCATTTATGTTAAAATGGAATAAAGATGAGTATATATTTGTTTTACCTTTATATGCATAAAAACAATATTAGAAGGATAAACCAAAACCTAATAACAGGGTTATCTATTTGGGTTGGGGAAAATGGGCAGATGGGGAACTGGAACAGGAGATAGATTTTTCACTATATTCCTTTTAATCTACTTTTTTAAAGCTTCAAGACATGTACATGAATTACCTATTCAAATACATATAAACATTTAAAAAGCAAAGTAAAATAAAACAAAACAAAACTCCTGCCCTTTCTACTCTTCCACAAGCCTGAGACATCTTTGGAGGGCAGTCTGTGTCCCCATTTCAATGAGTCACAGAGGGCAGCAGGCCTCTGGACTCCTCTGGTGGCTCTAACAACAGCGTCAGCAACACAGACGAGGGAAGACTGCTCTGCCAGCAAGCAGAGCCAAGCCAAGCACACCCTCTTCCCCTATCCTTGACTTAGAAAAACAAAGCCAATAGGCAAATCCACTCATCAGCATTTCTGAAGCCAACTGTTAACCAATCCTCTTCTTGCCATTTTACTCCTTTTTTTTCCCTTCCTTTTTCCAGAAAAACCTGGAAAGCTCTGCAAAACTTTGCAAGATGACTTACTAGTTCTGGCTGCCTTTTATTTATTTATTTATTTTTCTCCTTTGGCCTATGTCATCCACTCAGGCAAGGACCGCAGTCTGACTTCCTGCCAGCTTGCCTGCTAGGTTCATCACAGTGTCTTAAAAAAAAAAAAAAAATCTGTATTTTCTTAAATCTACAAACCTCAAGTTAGAGGTAATTTAGTCCAATTCCTCACCCAAAGTAGAACATCTAAGTTGTAAAATTTAGCAGAGTAAATATATTTGGTCTTAAAATACAATCCCTTGGTTTCACTTTGTCCATCGAATCAACTTGGAGTGACAGCTTTCATAAAATATCTGCTCTTGCTAAGAATCCCATGGGGTAGGTCTATTTGTGTGCGAAGTATAGCAGCACAGAGAGCCCCAGTGAATTTCCATTTAGTAATTCGGTGACTGTTAATTGACACCTATTATGAATCCATGGCTGTCTGAGGCCCTGTGCTGGGTACAGAAACACACATGAGACCCAGATCCTGCTCCAATCTCTAACAACCCTGTTCAGATATCTTCAGCTCATAAATGCCTCTGGACTAATTCACTTCATTCTTTAAATCCATTTGCAAGGTATCAACTGTAGCACTGAGTTGTGGACATTTTCATTATTAGTTGTGTCAGGAATATTTATAGTAATGATTTTCTCCATCCTCTCCCTTTTTCAAGGTTTTGGGAAATAGTTTTTATATTGCAAACATCATAGTCACAGTTCAAACTCTACTTAGTGTAATCCACATAAGATTCACTAACATTTCAGGGTGTTGATTTAGCCATAACAGTGGTGTGGCTTTCAGCTTCCAGCTTTCATTAGTTATAATTCCTTGGCTAATGTGCAGGAAATTTGAGATGTATGCCAGGTGTGTTCAATGAAAGGTTTTGCGCAAATCAAATGTGAGTCTAAAAGCCAGTCATTCTCCATGATGATGAGTTTGGCAGGGATTCAGGTATCTAGTACCATACCATATACCTCCCCTGAGGAGGATGGGCCAGAATATGCCCATCAAGTGTTGTTAAATTTGCTGGGAGCACAGAGCAGAAGGCTGCATGGAGGCTCTATGTCCATTCTCTATGACATGTGTATGGAGTCACCAGGAATGTTACCACAGGATTCATTCGGTACTGGCTTATTCTCAAAGGAAAACCCCAACCAGGCTGAGGATAGTGAATACCACAGACTGTAAGAAGCAGCAACAAGCTATTGCACCATTGTGGCTTCCACATATCCACACAAAAAACACACCAACAGGAAGAAGGTGTTATGTTACTCAGGTTTCCTCTCAGGACATCCTGGCTTGAAACACAGTTGTGTCACTGAAAAGTATAAAATAAATTATAGATGGAAAACTGCCAGATCATGTCCTTGAAAATCTCAGGAATCTGTCAGCTTGCAAAGGAGAGCTCAAAAGCTGGCATAAAAATCACTCCATTAATGACATTTGATTTTTCTTCCAGCTGAAGAGAAACACGGAAACATGGGAGCTTGGGGAAGGCTCCATGCACAGATTCTGAGCAGCCAGGGCCTTGTCTTAAACAAACAGCCTTGGACTAAATTTAAAAAAAGGATGTGACAAAATCAGGGTACAAGCATTACTGCCTAATGTGGCAGACCCCATTTTGCTTGTAACTGAAGATTGCCTGCGAGTTTCCCCATGCCCACTGGCTTTGCCAAATGGTGTTGAATAGCATAGGCAGTTCAGCTCAACAAAAAGTATAAGACTACACATTGAACAATATAAGCTGTCTCCCTGGGGGAACCACAGGATAAAAAGGGATCTATTTAAATGAGAGTGTAGGCCAGGGCCCTGTTCTCCAGGCTTGTCATGTCAAGCTCAGAATCAGACCGAGCACTCATCCACTTATTAATGTATTCATTTACTCATTCAACAAACATTTATAGAACACATATGAGGTTTCAAGCACTATGCTAGGTGTTGGGAATGCGAATTTCCTGTCTGAGAAGTTCTCAGTCTAATGGTGGAGAACCAAGAAAACTAACAGTTATATCAAGGCACTATGATGGGTTTTTGCACACAGTGGAACTGCTCTTACTGTTGTGTGTCCGGCCTTGTTTCAAGAATGGGGGCACACAGAAAATTAGGGAAGAATAACCAGAGACTGTGATGCCTGAGTTGAACATTTGAAGAGTAAGAAGGAATTAGCCAGGGGAAGTGTGAAAGGAAAGAATGTTCAGGTAGTCAGACAAATGTGTGCAAAGGCACAGAGGAGAAAGAGAAAACATGGCTCAGGCAGAGCTTCACGTACTTCAGTGTGGATAGAGACTAAAGGGTGAAAGAGGATGGGGTGGAAGAAATAAGGATGGATGGAGAAAGTAAAACCAGGGGACCAAGGCTCTTATTGTCATGCTAAGATAAGGGCTGGATCTTGTGTCTGTTTTATCTTCCACAGGACTCAGACAGTGATCGTTACATATTAGTTGCTAATAAATATCTGAAGACAATCAAGAGCCGCTGAAGAGTTTTAAGCAGGTGAGTAAGGTGACCAGGTTTGCATAGGAAACAGGAATATTGGGGAAAGCCTTGAAGAGGGTGAAATGAAGACAGGAAAACCAGGTAGGGACCTGCAGTGATCCAGGAGGGATGAAGATGGGCTGAACTGAGGTACTGCCACTGTGGGTGCAGAAAAGCAGGTGGATATAGGATCAGCACACTGTATGGGGTAAAGGGAGCTGCCATTTTTAGGTCAGAGAGTATGGTTACTTTTATAATTTCTCATGGGCACTGCTGACCACATATAGAAAGTATCGGGAAGATTCTTCTAAATCAGACTCACACCATAAAGCTGGCGAGATGCCACTACTCAGATCCCTGTAGAACTTTTATTTTGCTTATTCCCATTGCCTCTTCTGTGCAGAGGAAGCGAAAAGGAAACACTATTAAAAAAAGGATGACACCTAGCTGCCTGTAAGTGACCAACTTCCTTCCATACAAACAGCCAGGGTTGGTAAAAGGGCCCCTTCTTTCTCTCTTTACAGAATGTCTGAGGGGCCAAGAGATATCAAGTCCTCCTTGTGCAGAAGGGAAAGCCGGAACTCCAAGAAGTACAGAGACTTGCCCAAGGACTGAGCTAGAGAGCATCAGAGACAGCCAAGAATAAAGTCTCCCTCCCCCTTCTATTAGGAATTCCTTTAAATTTCTCCCAATCTTATTAACACAGGAATAGAAGTGGGAGGTAGCAGGTGAAGCCAGGAATTTTAAGTCATAGAGCCAATTTCAGCTACAAGCCCCATCCCCATTTCCCCAGCTTCAAAGAGAATATAGGGGAGCATTGACTCCATCTTGCAGGTCTGTGCAGACTTTCAAGGACCTGTTGTTCATCTCCCAGCCTTGTTCCAACGGGTATTATCTGTTAATGGTAGTGTTAATACGGTCCTGTATTTGGTCTTTCCCTCCTCAACCACAAACTTCTACTTCTTTCTACTATTGTGTCCTATTAGGCTCATAAGTCATCAAAATGCATTAGGAATGCCAATATTTTTGTGTCCCGATTTCATCTTTGGCACCAAGGAGGAGTATGATAAATGCTACAGTTCTGAAACTCTTGGTTCAGAAAATAATGCTGTGGAGGACAAGATGGGCAGGTTGAAATCCCTCCCTCAACTTCACTATCTCCAGCCTCCTCATGCATCTGTGAACAGGGACCCCCCTCCCCTCCGCCCTGCCCTGCCAGCCGAGGAAAACATGTGGTCTCCACATCCCCACCCAGCTCAAGGCCTTCCTTCTTTCCTGTCCATTACCCTCCACCCTGTTTCCACCTCTGGGCAGGAAAAGGAGCTGAGAAGGTGCTACTTTTTATTTTTCTTTTATTGGTTCTGGAGAGAGGGGAAGGGAGGGAGAAAGAGAGGGAGAGAAACAATGCACCCAAATCCATCATCCAGGCAATGAGCCCCAACCAGGAATCAAAACTTCGACCTTTCTGTTTGCAGGATGACTCCCAACCCACTGAGCTACACTAGCCAGGGCTGAGAAGGTGCTACTTTTGTTCCTTCTTCTTCCCTCTTTAGTTCTATCACAACTTACCTGATTCACACTTGTCTTAGAACCATAGTGTTTATATTTAGGGGTCTAGGATACAATTCCATTTTCCTCTGTCACCATACTTGGCTTTCAGAAGAAAATGCTCCGATCAGAGATCTTGGCTTATTTTTCCCCAGGCAGTGAGTCATATTCACAGACAAATTTTATTTCCTAGGTCACAACCTGGTCAGCTCTCCAACTCATAGAAAATGATCAAAGACAGTATGTACTTTCGCCTTTGTATCAATTTGCACATAATTCATTTAAAATTTGGAGGAAAAAGACCTCAAAATATCCTCCCACCTCCCCACCGCTTGTTTTATCTCCAGAGCACATCTGACATCCTATAGTCTTTCCTCTCTTTCCCTTCTTTTTCCTTCCTTCCCTTTCATAGTCTTTCTCTCTCTCTCTCTCTCTCTCTCTCTCCTCACTAGAATGTAAACTTTTTGAAGATAGTGCTTTTGTTTGTCACTTTTATATCCACAGGACCCAGCTCAGAGCCTGGCACATAGTAGATACTCAATGAATGTTGAATTAAAAAAAAAAAAATCATTGACTGAACAGTTGATTTTTCCTTCCTTTTCTCTGGGGCCTACCTACCACACCCTCTCTTGCCACAATGTTTTTCCTTTTGCTTAACAGTTAAGAGATCAGATGACCATATATTTTACATCAGCTTTAGAGGGGAACTTCACTGAAGTGGCAGGGGGTATTTCTTCTCCACCACTGACACCTCCACCTTCTGAAATTGTATCTCTTTGGGAAGTCCTACTCATTTTCTCTCTGACACCATCCTTTAGCCTTCCGTGGTAATCTCACAGGAAGGTTAACAATAATACAAGGGTAGTATTTCCTTGGCAAAGCTGGCTTCCTGCCTCTGCTCTCCCTCTTCTTCCGCTCAGCAGACAAAAAAGGGGTACTATAATAAATCATAAATTCCTAACTGGGCAGGTCATGGTGGTAGTCACACCCCAGCCTATAGCTTCTTTAGTGAAAGTTTTTAAGGAAGCCTTGTCCGCTGTTCTTGTGCATCTAGGTTAACACAGCTTTGAGATGCCAGAAGTAATATACTTCAAGACACAACCACCCTTACGAAAGCGCCTAACCTCCTAATCCAATGCCCAGTTTGCTTTCTCCCACCCTCATGTAGTCTTCCTTACTCTCTGTGATTCCAAATGCATAAAAGAAGCTGCAAAACTGTTATTCTTTGAAGCATTTGAGATCGTGCTACCCAGCATATGACGTCAGTTTGGTTCAAATAAACTCATAAATATTCTCTACAGGTTTGGATGTTTCTTAACGTTGACAGCCCTTTCCCATAGGTGCTCATTAGGCAGTGCTTCCCTTGCTGAATTTTAACAAGGCACCAGATCTGGGTCTTACACTTTGAGGCTGGCCCATGAGAGGGGATTTGTCTCAAATACCTGTTAACTAAGTCCACACAGAGGCCTATGGTCATAGAAACCAAATATAATGTACCGATTCAGGAATGCTAGACATTATCTAACAGACTAGAATTCTCAAATTAGCCTGACTGGTTGATGTTTTCCATGGATTAAAGATTGCTTGGTAAATATGGACTTAGAACAAAAGTAACCAACCTAAAGTCATGTTTCTCATTTAGGGTGGAGCCCCTCTTCCCTGCTACAGGAACAGTGTCATCAAGGAAATCATGGAACTCAAGTCCCCTTAGTCAAGACCTGTCCTTCCTTAGGCAGTGCCAGGGCTAACTTCCATACTCCTGAGGATGGCCAAACACTTCCTGCTCAGTCCCACAAACTGCCTCATAGCACAAGTGTTTTGACAATCTATATTACAACCACTTTCCAAATTTCAGTCCTTCCTTCCTACGATTGCTCCCAGACATATGATCAGTGTTTGGCAACAAATATATAGACAATTTCTAGGTTTACTTTTACAGATGGCCAATCACCTATTACATGTGGGTTTTACTGGTCTGAGGCAAACTGATTACCTGTCCCTTAGGTGAAGAATCTGTAATGACAAAATGGGAACACACTGCCTTGTAGGTTTTAACAAGTATGTTAATATGAGTCAGGACAGGAAGGACTGCTTTGGCAGCAAAGAGTAAGGGAAAAAAAACTCACTCGCCATTGAAAGTGGCCATGGGTCAGCCAGAATCATCTGCTCTCCAGATCTGAAACACAAAAGATACCTGCCTTGTTCAAAACCAAGGCGTATTTACCCATAAAGCCCTAAATTTTGAGGAACTACTTCAAGATCCCTGGGTTCTATTAGTTTGCCTTATTCTGGGAATTTCTCTTTTGCTCTAGCCAAGTTCAAGATAAAAAAATGAAAATGAAGAGGGGACTTCTGCCTTTTGTTCCTCTTCTCTTGTGTCTTGCATTTCCACATACAACTGAGCAGTGGGTATGGGCTGCAATTTTCACGATATAATACAGAGAACACAGCTCTCCTGGAGGTATGTTGAATACAAATTACACAAGGGCACGAGATTTTTGCCATTTGCACTGCTGATGGCAAATCAGCAATGGTTTGTAGAAGCAGCAGGTAAGAGGAGAGGTGGCTCCTGCCAGATGGTACTAAAAAAAGCCCCCATCTCACACAGTAGTCCTTCCATTAACCCATCCATGGCCAAGGCAAAGGTGGGGGGTTGCCCCTTTTCTGTCCTTTGGAGCTTCTGAAGCTTCAAATGCTGAGCTTCACGTGTCACTTAACCTGGTTTTGCCTAGATTAAAGTGTCAGGAGTGGCCTGAAGAATGGGGATATGGAGGGGAAGCCCACAGTGTATTATGCCTTCTCTCATACCTTCTAGGATGGTCCTGAGCATCTCATACTCTTGGAAAGAGCTGACTAGGTATTATTGCCTCTTTATCTTCAGAGCCCTAGAACAGTACCTTATTATCACCTCCAAGAGCACTGGCTCTACCATTTCCTTGTTGTAAATGTGAGGCCGAGTTATTTTACTTGCTGAACCATAATTTTCTCCTCTATATAAAGAGATAATTCCACCTAGCTCACAGGACTAGTTGTGGAAATCATGTAACTTGAGTGAAAAGCCTAGTACTGTCCCTGACACATCTAAGTAAGCACTTCGTAATACATTAGTTTTCTTTCTACCAGGAGGTAACTCTTGCATTCTGTTGACTCTGTTAGACCAACTTCACATAAGCTAGGGAAGGCCATCTTGTCCCCAGGACTCAGGCCATCCCAGATGACTTGACCATGGCAATGTAATACAAGGTGCAAGATTCTGGGAAAGGGCAGCAAGAGGATAAAGAAAACTGAAGGGTGCCCCAAGGCAGAATGTGCCCTAGACGGGCCTCCAGCAGGAAATGTTGTGGTGTCTCAGTTGCTAGGGCCTGGAGAAAAGTCCACTAACCACCCCTCCCTAAATTCTGAGCAAGCCCAGATTCAACCCATCAGGTTCTCAGTTAAGTCCTTTCCCCTTTTTTCCCAAAGCCACCGGGCAGGTTGTGGAGCTCATACTAACAAAGGGAAACTCCTATTAAAAACCAGTACCCGGAAACACAGTCTTTTGTTTTAGGTCTATTCAAGGATTAATGCTATTGCAAACTGGCTCTAAGGACGGGGTAGGAAAAAGTGGAAAAGCAGTTTTTGTGTTTTTTCGGACCGCCTACTTAGTCTGTACTAAGCACAGACTAGTAACTCGTTAAGTAAATGGTACTATTTATATTTTAAAGGAGAACTTAGGTGGTGAAACGAGTCAAACCCAGGTCTCCTCCCAGGGCCCACGGTCTTTCTCTTTTCCCACCAGGCAGGAACAGCCTGGGTGAGGGCTGGCCAACCCTAAGGCGGTGGGGAGGGGCCTGAGCCCAGGAGCGCAGCGACTCTGCCGCAAAGCCGCGCGGTCTGGAGCCTGGGATGGGGTGAGGTGCTCCTCGGCCCCACGTGCCCCGAGTCCACTCCGCTGCCCCGCAACACCCGCAGGTCAGATTCCAGGCTCGGCCCCGCCCGCACCAAGGCGCGGCCGCCGAGGGAGCCAGAAGCCGGTGCCCAGCCTAAAACCGAATTTAAAGGCACGCATGCGGGCAGCCCCGGCCGGCAAACGACCTCCGGAGGGCCTCGCGCTAGGGCGCCAGCGCCCCTCCCTGCCGAGACCCGCCTCGTCAGCACCTCTCCCGCAGCTGGTTCCGGACTCGGCCCCACAGTGGGTCATGAGGCGGGCGCTGGAGCGTGCGCGGCCTGGCCAGCCCTGGAGAGGGCCTCAGCTCCACACCGTACC